TCGGGGACGGATTTCTCAGTTGTGAATGAACTTTTTGCGCTGCCTCTTGGGCAGTGCCTTAGTTAGGACCCCTTTGACAGTTTCAGGCAAAAAACCCATATGCCCAGATTTGTCTGGACACTGCCTTTATGGGAATGCAATCACCGTGCGATTCGCCAATAAGAGCCCGATTACTGAGCAAACAGCCGAAGCCGATACATTCAAACTGCAAGACTTGATTGCCGACTATGACGCCTACCAGCCTGTGCAGAAGGATGCTGCCCTTATCGGATCTGTATCACCTGTACCGGCTGGGCCCGTCCAAGCTCAAGGCGTCACTCTGTCCGGAAGAAGAGGCAACTCCGACCTCAGCCGCAACGTACCGACGCCCATCTGATAGCAAGGCTCCGCCTGGGCGTTACCGCCGTGATGATGCGCGCTGTATCTGTGGAAATAAAGGGCACTGGGGCAACAGCTGCCCGTCAAGGGACAGACAAGTCCGCCGTTTCCTGAAAAAAAGTTGTGAAGTCGAACGTGCTGAACTCCCACAGTCACTACTTGAATATCAAGCGGATCAACCTGAATGTGAAGATGCAACTAGATATCGGTGCTGACGAAGTTTTTAAAGATGAGTTAGGACATATCAGTAAGTTCAAAGCTCACCTCGTACTGAAGAAGGATGCCACGCCCGTCGCCCGTGCCGAAACGAAAATTGCCGTTTGACGTAGAACGTCAATGCAGAATTGGACCGCCTTGTCCCCATTGGAGTAATGTCACCTGTCGATTACTCACAGTGGGCTGCTCCTATCGTACCCGTCAAAAAGAAGAATGGAACAATGCGCATCTGTGTCGAATATTCCACCAGGTTAAATGACGCATTGGAGCTGAATCGGCACCCCTACCGACCGCTGAGGTCGTTTTCATCAAACTAAATGGAGGAACAGTCTTTACTAATATCGACCCGCGTGACGCTTATCTGCAAGTAGAAATGGATGACAAAAGCAAAGAGTTGCTGATTAACACGTCACGAGGACTATTCCGCTATAACCGCCTCCCGTTTGGTGTGAAGAGTGCCCCCGGAATCTTTCAATCGCTAATGAGCAACGTCACTGCCGACATAAATGGAGCCGTTGCCAATCTGGACGATGTTGTGGTCACAGGAAGGGCGCGTGAAGAGCATGATGCGGACGTTTTCAAGCTATTACAAATTTTCAAGAGTATGGAATGCGTGTTTGTCGTGAAAAGCGTCATTTTGGTAAGTAGTATAGTATTTCCCGGATTCATTGTCGATGCCGATGGAAGACGTCCCGATCCCGAAAGGATTTCTGCCATCGCCCATATGTCGCCGCCCCAAGATGTAAAGCAGCTCGAATCTTACCTTGGAATGATTTCATTCTATTCGTCTTTCGTGCCAAAGATGCGTTCACTTCGCTGACCATTGGACGCTTTGAAGAAGAAACACACCGTTTGTCTGGAGTAAGGAGTGCCAGGAAGCCTTCACCCCCATTGCGATGTTCTGACCTCGGATCTTCTACTGTGCCACTACGATCCCAAGAAGCCGACCATTATTGCCGCTGACGCAAGTAACTATGGAATCGAAGCGGTGATCTCTCACCGCTATCCGGATGGGTCGGAGAAGGTCGCCTGTCACGCTAGCCATGCCTTGACTGCCGCAGAAAAGAATTACTCACAGATTGAGAAGGAAGGACTGGCCCCAGTTTTTGCCAAGAAATTTCATAGCTACATTTACGGAAGAAGATTTAATTTGTTAACGGACCATCGCCCTCTAGTCACTATCTTCGAGAGCAAAAAGGGAATACCGGCCTATACTGCTAATCGCCTTCAACGATGGTCGATGATGCTACTGTCCTACGATTTCGACATCAAGTACCGTTCTACGACATCGTTTGGACAGGCCGACACTCTCTCAGGACTACTTTTCTGTCGGAGTACATCGGATGAAGACGTCATCATAGCTACCATAAAAGCTGATGTCTCTGCCACTTACGAGGAAACACTCAACCAGTTACCAGTTACCGTGGAAGATGTGTGTTCTGCCATGGAAAAAGATGCAGAGTTGATGGAGCTGCTCAACTGCCTACAAACAGGACGTTGGCCAAATACACTTCCCGGAACGCCGTTGTTCAGTTACAGTAGCTTGCAAAGGGAATTATTTATTCACAATGGATGCATATTCTTCGGATCCAGGATCGTCATTCCCGCTCTGCTAAGGAAGGAGATTCTTCGCATGTTGCACGACGGACACCCTGGACAAACCCTGATGAAGCTGCTTGCTCGCAACTATGTCTACTGGCCTAGTATTGAAGAAGACGTTAAGAAGACTGTGGAATGTTGTCAGAATTGCCAAGTTGCCGCGAAGAATCCCATGAAAGCGGAATTAACGCCATGGCCATTGCTAATCGTCCGATGGAACGCCTGCATATCGACTTCGCTGGACCGCTCTATGGCCACATGTATCTCGTCATCGTGGACGCTTACCCCCGCTGGCCCGAGATCGTGGAAATGAAGTCGACAACGTCATCAGTTACCACACAGGAACCACTGAACTCCTTCAGCAGGTTTGGTTCCCCAGAAACGCTTGTTTCAGACAACGGCACCCAATTCTCTTCCCAGTATTTCGAGGATTTAGGAAATACAGTATCAAGCATATTAGGACGCCACCGTTCCGTTAATCAAATGGGCTTGCTGAACGCTTCGTTGAAACCTTCAAGAGAAGAACTATGAAGCTAAAGGGAGAAGAAAACCTTTCTGAAGCCTTGTCGAGCTATTACTCTGCTATCGGTGTACGCTCTGCCCGTCTTCGATAGATGATCGTTCCTCGGTCGCGATGTTTCTTAAACGAACGATTGATACTCCGCTTACACGTTTAGGTCACTGACGCTCAGACTGTTAAATCAAGCTATTCCCCCCGGAACAAATCCTGGATGGAAACTTAATACAACCGCAGACACGGAGCCAAGAAGAAAACTTCGATGTCCATGATGGTGTCTACGCTCGCGACTACCGCAATCCAGCAAAGCCTACTTGGACCCCAGGAATCGTACAATCAAGGATTGGACGCTCGCTCTACAATGTAGAAGTTGAAGGATTCATATGGAAACGCCATGCCAACTAGCTACGCCCTCGAATAGTCTCCGATGCTACCAGCACGCTATTGGGAAAGTTCAATCTTTTAGATTTTGAACTCCCCAGACAGTCAACTCCCTCCGTGTTCGTTGATGTTCCTTCCGCCAACGCCAATCACACTGAGTTGCGCTGCCTAATCCTGATATTGCTGCGGCCAATGCCGAACCAAGGGACGCTGAAGAATCCGTCAGTCGAATGTCTCGGCCATGTCATTCTTCATTCTTCAATTCCTCCATTCCTCGCTGCTGTCATTTGTATCAGTCGCCAATAAAGCACTGCTGCCATTCGTGTCCCGGATCCACAGAAAGATAGAAGACCACAACAGTACCAATGATCTCACTTGTCAAAAGCTTATCTCGTTTGCAGATGTCTGCATTCCGTGGCATTCACCCTAAAGAGTATACGAGAGTGCAGCAAACAGTCAAATCAGAATGAGCAGCGGTCCGATGTGCTATCTTTTGCGTCGAATGGATGTTCCCATGTACAAAAGAAAAAACGTCATCTTCTCGTCGACATAAGAAGCGTCTGAATTTTATAGCTTCATTAGAAGCATATTGTGATAGGCTTTAGTACCCAGTCATACATAGTGAGGAATTTGTGAATAATTTCCCACTATGTATGCTTATACAATAAATGGAAATGTTTTTGCGGTTCTGTACTATATACGTTTAGTAATTGGGGAGGGGGGAGGGGCGAGGGGACAAAGCGAAACCTGCAAAACTAGGAAGAATCGCGCCCCACAACCATTTTGTTGCGCGAATGACACATGTCGGCCGGCGGCAGTGCTCATACAGGCAGGCGAGCGTAGACTAGGCGGCTGAGTGAAGTTGACACCATCCCCGCCGGCAGGTATTTGTGCGACCTCCGGCCGGTGCGATTGTCTGAGATAGAGGAGAATAAAGCACGTAGTAAGCTAGCAATGGTGTCGCTAACGCGTTAACACGAAAACCTCAATAAACTAGCACATTGGCATGGCTAACATCATTACATAGCCAACTTCTAGTGTTAGATGACTTCCATTGCAGTTCTATGAAGCTAATTCAATAGGTGGTCACATGGTCGAACCAAAAAAGGCAGCCTACTAACTAAGCTAAAACTACTGAAACAATAGAAAGGTATCGCTCGCATATGTTGAATGCAGTGGAATATAAAATTATAAATTATGGGTACACAAAGTGAGTGATGTACTACATAACCTAGTCTTCATAAAGATTTGATTGCAAATAAAGGAGAAAAACCAATTGCATCTTGTTTCCCCTTTTCTAGAGGTACTTGCGAACGTATAACGCACACTGATGCAGAATACAGTAGCACAAAAAAACAAGAAATAAAAGATCCGATTTCGTGCAAATCCCCGGCAGCAAAAAAGTGTGCATTTTCGCATTGAGTCTGTCTGCAATTTTAGCTGAGCTGACGTGTTTCGTAAGTTACTCTGGAGCAACTTACAAAAGTTTCCCCTTCCTGTGCTCTCTTCTTTAGGGCTGATCTTTCTGCCGCTTCATCTGATGCTCACCTGTCAGGTGCCTTGCATACTTACAGCACGAAAAAGGGGCAGTCCTCATTTTACCTGACGGAGCCTCATATGAGGGCCTTAAGAGAGATCATCTTCCTTGACCGAGCTATGCTAGCCATAGCCCTCCACCCCACTCTCGCTGCGAAAACTGATATCATATTGCATCAAAAGCTGAGGTCAACCACCCCAGTTCAAAGTAAACTTTGCTTTGGGTTATTTAACATAAGAGGCTACGAGAATAGACACTACTTCAGCTTATAATCTAAGTCCATAGACTTTCTCTTCCCTTCAGAAGTGCTTCTTGCAGGGGCTATCGTATCCTGCTTCCCTTCCTATTGCTCTTATTTGAATTTTTGAGAACGATTCGATGATCAAACTGCTCCCACTAACCGATAATATATTTATTTGTCACAACTACGACAACTCAATTTATACCTGTACAGCGATATCAATACTTCGCTCCTGAATACACGCACAAAAGGCCACACACACTCACTGGGTTGCAAATCGCTTAGTCATATATCGCTACGAAACTGCACGATTACGCACACTGTACACTGTGAATTCGAAGGTAGATGAAAACAATTAGACGAACAGTAAGGCAGCAATGGCGAACAGTGAAGAGAGGACGAACGGACCCGATGACGAAGACTTCTGCAAATCGAAGGTTTCAAACCACAAAATATCTAACGTGTCAAAAGGACTAGAATTTTGGCAAATGGCGTTGAGACTTCCGCAACATGAAGCTGAGCCCTACCACCTCAATCAAGATAGTGTCTTATTTGGTCCTCATTAGCGAATCAATTGAAATTTACCCTCCAATCAACAAAAGAGAGCCATTTAAGTCCAAACATTTTCTTATGAAGAGCCTTTACTGACCACTTCTTCCTTGACTCCAGCTTGAACATCATTGTCGTCTGCAACACTGGCTACTACAGCATCGTCTACGACTATGACAGGTTCCGTTGTTGCGGCTGTGGTCTGATCCACAGAGTTCACGTCCATGCCAATTTCGGTCTAAAAAAATTGATACATGCGATACCGTGGACGTGTTAGATTCCTCATACTTTTTCACTGAATGTATCTTCGGGTTTGCGTTCAACTGGGGTTTCAGATGTGCTTGGCTCAAGTGCCTCTTCTGGGAGAGGTACAGTGCGAAGCTCCTCATCCGGCTAAAATTAAAGTAAAATTTTCAAGCCATGCGCTCGAGTAGCATCAAGCTAACCTTGATCGTTGCCATGCTTACTTCAGGAGCCATCTCGTCTGGCTTGATGAAGTCCTCAGCACCTGCAGTGCTGCTGGGTACCTTAAATAGTCCATATGGTACATATAGTAATGAAATGCATGACACGTCTAATAGCAGTGGCAATCAAGGAGAGATGGCGATGAGCAAGGCAGGCAACGGACATGGGAGAAGATGGAGTAAGCGCACTGCAGTCGCGATAGCTAGTAAAAGATTTATTCTCAAACTTCACATCATTCTCCTTCTCCCTCTTTCTCAGCCTTAGCTACTACTGACAAGGAAACTCTATGCTATGTACACCATTGTAAAACATGCATGCCTACTTTAAGCCTCATGCCTCTAAACTATCCATAAAAAACTACTCTGATCCGGATGACCTCTACTCCAATGCCAGATGGCTCCATGCGGTGCGAAGACAGCTACAGTAGACTTTCCGCTCAATATAGTGTGTTCGCGGTGCCCAAAAATTCGGTAAAATCTGACATAGCTGCGCCTCCAAGCTAGCCATGCGCGCAAAATGCCGGCATTATTGGCGTGGCTACTGCTTCACGCGCAAATTCTAGCGCATTTTTTTGGCACCGCAAGAACACTACATTGAGATGATAATCTACTCGAATGCTTACATCGTCGATTCCTAGGCTAATTAACAAGGGGGCGGAGCGATCAGCGCACCGCGTACAGTACCCAGCTGGCGGCTGGCACATGCTATCGTTCATCTTGACCGCCACCCGTCGAAATGATGTGGCCTCATGCTCCTTATGACCAATATTACCTGGATCCGTGGCCTTAGCTCGTCAATAGATCTGATGTCAATTAAGCTTCAAATGCATGCTGTCAAAATTCCCTACATATTTCAAAGAAATGATATCATAAGTCTCCTTTTCAGCGCTTAAAATCCGCTACTTCTGGGAGAGAATGGTTGAGATTGTAATTTGACGATTTTTCTTTAGTTTGTATAACAAAGGTCAACTCAGGAAATCATACCAAAGTTCGCCCGAGCATAAATTGTAGACTCTAAACCTTAAATAGTTCGCAAGCAGCTGGTTATACCATTTGAGGGCTAGGGAATAGGGCGGATGCCCATGTGAGGTAAGCGCACGCGAACGCGGCGCGTGGGCCTGTTCAGCAAATTCACTAGAAGTCCCGCTGGACATAAGGAAGAATTCCCTGCAGCACTTTGTGCGAAGTGCTGCGGAAGTTCGCGTTTTCAGACGGTTTGGCCTCAAGCTCCTGCGAAAGTTCCCAATTTCCACTCTCAAAAAAACTCCTGTGGAAATTCCCAATCTGCACTCTCAGACTTTTGCGGCAGTAGGCAACCGTAAACCGCTGCAAATACCCCTTGTCCGGCGGAAGTTCCCATGGGTTGCCTGAATGTGTCCCAAAGGCTTCAGCAAAAGTTTGCTCGACCGCCGGGTGCGCGCCCGCTTTGCGACTACAAACCGGCCCTCGTCCGGACTTAGTTGGCAGCATTTTCAAAAAAATGCCTAAAAGAAAGCTCCAAAAGGTAGTAACTGCTCTCAAATTCCATAGAGACTATGAAGAAAATACTACTTTATCTTACTACTGCAGCGCATCGGATTTTTTGCTATGCTCAAAAAAATTTTCTAAAGCTAGCATGTCAGCAACTAAGTTGTGTCGACGAAAGCCTTTTGTTAGCGCTACAGCACCAAGTCAAAACCTTTCCTCGACTCTGATCATCGTAAATGACTGGATTGGGAAGAGCGCCAGAAGGTCGCCATCTTCACTTGCTTCACTCACTTCAATTTGTGCTGGTGTGGTGTTCATCTCCTGTTCACTGCCGGTGTGTGCTTCAGACTCAGTGGTCTGCAAATACAGAATTTCACCAGGCTCAACTTTTGTAATATTCAGAGTTGTGTTTTGATGTGGATTACCATTTTTGAGGCCATTTCCGGGGTGGTTGCCTCAGTTACGTCGGCAGCTTCTGCCTTAGTCTCCTCAGTCATTACCGAAGCAATGGTCGTCACATTAGCCTCACTTTCCTTAGTGGTTTCCGGTTCCATGACCTAAGGTATAATTGCTTGTACGTAGGGCTAATAATGGCAGCAGCCGGCTAACCTTGTTGAATTCTTCTACGTCCTTGAGGAAAGAACACTCAGTGGGCAGATTTCTAAGGTAGCTTTCAGCCATCACTTTGACGGTCGTCACATTGTCGTTGTTGGAATCTTCGGCTAGGCGTTCGCTGCCTGATCGCACTTGTTGCTTGGCGAGATCCTGAAAAGATTCTCAAAATGAAAACGTATTGAAGTTCTAACGCTTGAGCGCAGCATGGAATCTATAACGATAACGATATTCCACATTAAACGACCTAAAAAATGACTGTAAATTTTGCTAGTACTTCGTGGGGGGCAGGAGGTCATTTGGCACCCTGTTTACAAATTCCACATTAATTTTTGGGCAGTAACGCTTCTGGTGCATACGGTAAAATTTACAAGGGGCCGATACCACGTTTGGCCAAACTTCGTTTGGGGAGCAGAGACGCAGATTACTTGGCACGCTCAACAGGATTGTCAAATTGCTTTCGCTCAATAGCAATTCGGTTCGATGGTCTAGCGATAGATGGGGTCAAAATTCCATTTTGCTCAAAACTTCTTAGAGGTTCCTGCAATGTATAGGACAGACCTACGACTTAGACCCCCTCCCCCCAACGTATGTCTATTCACTCTCGAAAAAGTCGCACAAAATGAATATTGGATCGTAATCAGCATACTTCTAGACAAAGTTTTGAGCCAACTTGTGTGGACCCAGCTATAATATACAGCAGGCGAAATAGCCACCCTAGACAAAGTTTTTGCGAGACCGAGGAACTCTTCTGCTACTTGTGTTTGGTCTAAGGTACGACTTTTCAGGAAATGTATAACAATCCAAGTCTGGTGATAACCGTGCTGAAAGCTTTTCTAGTGAAAACACCTAAATTACCTACTTTGAAAAGGTCTCCGGCTCCAGGGCAGGCGTCATTAAATCCTTTCTGCGCGCACTTCATCACGCAGATGTGGTTTCTGGAAAGCAAGGGTAAATTGGGTAAATCCTGGGCACACCCTTGTTCTTACTTGCACGAACGACCCGCTCCATCTAGAAGCACTGTCGGGTTGATCGAAGAAGCAGGAGAGGAGTCGAATCGAAGCGGGACCTCTCGTGGGACTTCGCATTGCAGCGCGCACTTCTCCGTCATATCGTCTGCCTTTTCGAGGCAGTCTGATACCAGACGAAACTCTGTAAGGAAACTACTCTGTTACTTCTGCTATCGACCCCCATAAGGTTGTAATTTCGATGAAAATGGCCATGCATTCTCTCCTGGAGTACAGGTGACAAAGTGACCTTTCTTTTCACTTTCTTTGCTAGGTAAAAACTCGCTTTCCTGATTGTACCGAGGCGCGACCTTGGCTTTCGTAGAACAGCATTTGTAACTGCCAAGAGAACGGCTTGCACTATTCGGACACTAATGGCTGGCATACAAAAAGTACAAGACATATTTCGGCAAAGGCATTACAAACTCTCCAAACACGCTGCTGTTGCCTGGTATGTGATAGGCGCATAAAAATCATACTATACTTGGCATTGCTTGCCGTGGAAGTAAATGACAACCCATGACAAACTTCACTGCAACCCCTTTTGCAATCAGCGAAACGATTCGAAATGCGCGCAGTTGAAACGTGACCTTGTGTGAAATCGACGCTGACATATCATGGGTTTGAGCGAATTTGTTCGAACACCTTTCCATCAATCGTTCAGGTTTTGTGATTTCGAAAGGCTCAAAAGTTCTCTGAATCGTAGAGTTATAGTAAATCATCTTCACTTCTGCGAATTCGGTCTCTTAACCCCTCGAAAATGTTGTCTTTCGAGCTACCAATAATTAGACGAAATCACTATAAGAGAATGTTCAGGCCATAAAGTCAAAGAGTAAACTGGATCTGCAAGGTCAAATTTTTCAACAGAGGGAATGACCTGAGTGCATACTCATTCTGGAGCTCCAAAAACACGCGACCTCAAATCTTTTTATAATAGAACACCTGAACTCGTTCCTCTAATTTTACATTTCCTTGCCGTTCCGATTTTTTCTACTTTTGCGCAGTTTTTACCGAACTTTTCTCATGTCATTGAAAAACTAGCTCCTATAGCTTTTTACCACAGTTTTTCCATCAACCACACTTTGAGCGGAACTGTTTTCTCGAATAAAGATGAAATTTTTTTCCAAATGAAAAAAATATTCTTTAGATGTAGACACTCGTGGATACAAGTAGTTTCCATCTAGTAACAAGTTTTAGAATAGTTTTTTCAGGATTTTTTCTTGCTGCTTCTTTTTAGGGCATCCACCTTTGCAGCCCAGATGAGGATGAGAGAAAAACTTTTTTGACGAGATTTGAGCTTTTTCAGTGTTTATCGTACTGGCAATGGTGGCAACACTATGGGCAAGCTCAAGAGGACTCTGAGACCCAGCATTGTGGTTTTTTTTAATCAAAAAGGCTACAACCAGCTCTACGAACCTTCGATTTTGTCCAAACAGACGTACGAGCTGGCCTCTGTACGTGCCTCCAATTCGCGAATTTGTTCAGCTGGACATTCTCGACCACATTTCAGCAAATCCGCATTGATTCTGAAAACAAATCGAGTTAGGCTGAACTTTGCGACGTTTGGCCTTTGCCCAAAATTTTTCTAGCCTCGCTTCCGCCCCGTTCGGCAACAACTCAAGGCTGGCCCTTAATCTCCCTACCGACAGAAGTTTTCGGAAACGACAAGATCGCGCCGTTCGTTCGTTCAGTGGGAAGAAAAATTGGGTGAACGTCCTCAGACGCATAATTTGACGGCCCGTACGCCCGGCTCTGTGGATTTCAGCCCTCAGAAGAATGTCAAGGACTTCGGAATTTCTTGTGTGATTTGTGTCACTTCAGACAATGACGTGGACAACGACAACGCTCGGGTGTGCATGACTGGAGTCGAAACTGAGTTTCACCATCGAAAAGATGCTGTTAATTCGCCGTCACATCGAGATAATGGCTGGTCGTCTTCGAAGTTTTTATTTTAATGGTTTAATGGGGGCTTGTTAGTACACTGGGCATTTGTTAAAATAAAGAGGGCTATTCTAAAGTCTTGAATGGAAAGAAGTTCTACAAAAGATGCTGATTTTTCCTTATTAGGCAAATTGTCAAATAATGACCACGGCAATGTTTACATTTAATTCCGACAATCCGACAAAAAATTGATCACAGAAAACTTTTCTATTTTCCACTCAGTGTCATTGTTTGTTATCACAAAATCTCGAAAAAATGTGTGACGTATCAAATTTCCCATCAAACGCAGTAAGAAAAAAGTTTCTCTTCATACTCCAAGTCCTAGATTTATCAACGAGTTTCTGGAAAACAATATGACTGATGATCTCGTCTTTAACGAATTGAAATGAAAAAAATTTTCTTGCAAAACTCAGAGAACTGGTTCTTCGGAAAAGGCTTCAATTTCGTTCAAAGAGTTTTTGCTCATGACTCTTTCAGCATAAGCGATGAATTTTCATGGAATCACTAACTACTTCAATATTTTAAGCTGAACTTTACTGATTATCTCGTCAGCCTACATTCATTGTTTGGCAAAATAATTCAAATTTTGGAAGTAGAATCATTAGTGCTGCTGGAAACAAAGCTATCGATAATGACTCGGAGGACTAAAAACACGCAATTCTAAACTTGGAAGTTCAAAAAATTACTGTCTTGCCTGACGGTAATCAACAGACTTTACATCAAGTGTACAATAATCAGCAGAATATCGTCACCAGCCTACTATTGCGAGACTTTGTTCTCTTTTGCGGCCGTTTAGGGGCCATTAGTTTAACGGTTGTTAATGCATGGCGTTCTTGTACAAGGAGGAAAATTACTTTATAAAGAGAAAAGTTGAACAACCGCAGTAAATATTAAATCGCTGCATGTCAATGCTTTTATAGTAACAGAAAGGTGATGAAAATACTAAGCAAAAAATTTCAAATTTTTGTTTCAATATGATGAGAAACGGGCGTGCGTTAAATTGCCGTCTGAGGCAGAATGTTTTTTATGAGTGTAAGTACGGCCTACATTGCCCTATAGATATCAGATATGCACAACACTATCTGATTAACTATAACTATTGTGCTATTCATACGGTTTTCCCATTTACCTCCTCCCCTCTCTTCCACATTCGACTCCTCTTAGGCTTTCAAAATAAAATTGAAATTAAGTCTAGAATCAACTTGTATGATGTAGAAAGCTGATTAAATCACAAATAATGACTCCTATCAAAGGGTAAAGATCTTGCAACATAATTGAAAATTCGCGCTAAATGTTTGACGCGATGGGGTTACTGCACGCTCAGCAACGGCAACAGGAACGCTCGGGATTTTCAAAAGCGATTTAGTAAGATATGGGCGGAGGCACAGATTATCCATCTTGCGCGTCAAACCTTTGGATGCAGCTAACCGACTTGCATACCAGCTCAGGTTATCTCCACGGAAGCTTCCTACTTGAGTGTCTAGAGAAAAAAAAGGAAAAAGACGCTAAAGATTACTCAAGAGACAGTGCTGTGGTCAACATGATTCTACACTTAAAGAATTCGTGCATTGTGCATTTGCACGCATATGCTCACAAAATGATTTGACTATATGTGGAATTTGTTGGTGGGAGGCTGCCTGAATTTACTGGTTAAATTTGTTCCTGACCCCGAGCTTCGCTGTGCGCAAGACCGCAAATGTAGACCTAGTGTTCGCTTCATTGCCTTTCGATTTATACAGTTCATTTAAACGGATAAAATCTCGTCGCGGCTAATCGTCCGCTTTCACCGGTGCGTGTAGCGATGTGAAATGGCCTTGGGAAAAACTTGAGAAGATCGAAATGCTATTTGTTTTGAACGGTGAATTGCTTATATGATGTGAAATGATGCACGACGCGCGAAAACCGCGCACGTCCGCTGCTGCCATGACCGTGCCGTGCCAAGGCGAAGTCGAATGCGGAAGCAGGGCATAGAGAGGAGGGGGGGGGGGGGCAAATTCAATGTGATCTCAGATCTTTTCTATTTCTAACCTGCAGAATTGCTCAATGTCAACGGCGATGCTCTTGAAGTTGAACAGATCGAATGCTGCGTTCACAACGCTGAACGATTCGAAACAACCTTGTAGACATACGCTCGACGTCGGAATGACCGGTTGTGGAGGGATTGAAGCGCCTGAAACGTGTGTGCGGTACAAACATCAGTTACAAACATTACAAAACCTTGTGACACTGTGCCATGTCAGGTCAGCGCGACCGGTGTTGTTTTTCCTTGCTGTGAACAGCATTTTTGAAGCCATTTCTACCTTGTTTACAACAACTATGGCAACGCTCGTCTGTCAGCAGCGTTTCCATTCCTGTTTTCTTCTGTAGGGGCAATCACGCGTGATCAGTTTCGTTACGGTTTATACTTACGAATATGATGAATCGTTACGCTTGCATGAACTTCACAAACAAGCAGCATTGATCAAGAACTGTGCAATCTATCCCATTCTTCGTGTTGGTAAATAACTCTATGAAAATGCAAATACTTACTGGTAACCGTCTAGGGATACAAAAAACTCAGTTTTCTAGCATTAAAGAAGTTCGTTCATGAACTTTTAAAACTTTTTTAATGATTTGTAACTCGAGGCGAGGCTTTGGTTTCTGTTTTTATAGTTCGAATTGAAATTTACATACAATACCACTGCTGGGTTCTCTGAAGCTTTCTCTGTTTGCGAGTTTTTTGGGGATAAAAACGCTTAAACGCATCGGCTTTCAGTTTTTATTCTTTCTTCGAATTAGTCTACATTATTGCGGGCATTTCGGTGCTGTAGCATGGGTACTGTATTTATACGTGCAAAAAGTGCGATTGCCAATCTTGTAAATTAGTAAATTCCACAGTGACAGATTACGCCAAATCCTGATACTCAAAGAACATAAATTTTCGATACATACCGTATGCGGCTGCGATTATGGCGAACAGAGACCCCACGATCATGGCGGATAGTCTGAAATACAAAAAAATCCCCTTCTGATACAAGAACTTAGACGAATGAAGCCGAAACACCATATCAAGAAGAGATCCTACTAGGAAATTGCTACAGAAGAAACAAGAGATCTTAGCGCAACTGCGACTATGGCTATGCGGAAAAACGAGGAAGAACTAGGTGAAGGTGAGCGAGTAACTGGGAAAAATCCCTCGACGGAGGGTTCGATGTTGGTGCGTGTGTGCACAGCGGGACAACGACTACTCAGCTGACCAACATCGTTACTTTGAAGTAAACGAAACTAAGTTGATAGTCGGGACCGGCGGGGCAGTAGCCGCTCTGCCGGTTACGATCATCTGGGCGGGGTCACTTTTACTGCTTCGGTCTCTCTCGTCGCCACCGAACGCGACGACACGCCGTATGTGATCAGCCATCGCTTGACTCGTGGAATTCGATGGCCATTTAGCTGTGATCAGCCATCGCTTGACTCGTGGAATTCGATGGCCGTTTAGCTAATAATGGACGACAGATGACCGAGGGGAGGGGAGGGGGGCATTACTAATCGGTTGGGTGACTCAATGAGAAATTAGCGAAAGAAAATGGCTGTAAGATAGTAAACGAGTAAAAGAAGGAAGAACAGAGTGGAAGCAAGAAAAGCAGGTTTGAAAAATGGGAAGTAATCTTGAATAGATAATTATGAATGTGGAAACAACTGCAGAAATGTATGTAAAAATTCCAGAATGAATATATAAAAGTGATGAAAAAGGGTTTTAGAGCGTTTCTTCGAAAATCTATCTACCCTTTGCTTCAACCAGATTGGCTGCTGGAAGGCGGGACTCCATGACCGAGGTGACTGCTCGCGTTCGCGACGTATTCTGCGCCTCCCTTGCGAACATGCTCTCTGATCACTTTTTAGCCTTAATTAGGTAACGGAGCCCCGCCTTCCAGCGTCAATCTGGTTGAAGCGAAGGGCAGTGCAGCTTTGAAGGCAATAACATATTCACATTCAATTTTTGCTTCAACTTGAGCCAGTTTGCTTGAAAACAATTTTAAACGTAAAATCTGTGTCAATCACTCTTTTGCGTTGGAGCTGCGCATACGCGACGCGAGTACTTTGCGTGCGGACCTGCAGCCGATGCGGTCAAGCTGAATACCTAAAACCTAATGATATACGCATGCGCACACGCATACAAAGCTTTGGCGTGACGGTTGCGTGATGAAGGGAATAAACATTCGAAACAACCTGTATGTAAACTTACTCATGAGATATTCGAACATGTGCGACGACATGTGCGAACTGCGCATACTGTGCGTCAAATCCTGAATTTTTTTTTGCGCTGGAACGCATTTCTCTATTTCACCGCATTTTTCAAAATTTTTTTCTTTCTAGATATCTAAAGTATCATGTGGCGAATTTCTCATTGTATTTTAGCGAGGGATCGACGAGATCTAGCATTTAATGAGCAATATGTGCATTGTGTGCAATTGCACAGGAATGAGATGACTACAATATACGCAGTACCACATTGGCAGACAGTAACGGTGCGCCTATCAAGTTGGTATGAAGTGAAAATGTTGGAAAGTGGGCAGAAAACGTCATTCGACTGCGAGAGGCCATCAGTCATTCCTGTACTGGTATTCTCGACACTGAAGTTAAATGCAATTGATACTGTAATCAAGTGACAGCAAAAGTGCTTTTTTACAATCACATGAACTTTGTTTTCGCGATTTTAGATTACTTCTTAGACAAGGGGCAGGGGCTTTTCTTTGTAAAGTAAGTTTTGCGAATGGGAACCAGTTTGATTTCCTGTTTTTACTGCCGTTATGTGGAATTTTAGTAGATAATGCAGAATCTTGACTGTTGCAGATTTATGTCACATCTTTGCATTTGCGGTTATTGTATGGAATGGAAGTCGTCGAAAGATGTGCAGATCTATTTACAAATTATTTTTTGGTCTCATTCCATGAGTTTGCAAAACTTCCGAACTGAAAATGGTGCAGTGCAGAAGGAGAGTTCACTTGTCTGTCACTACGCTATGCCAACTAATGGGATTCTCAAATCGGCACAGTACATACTCAAGACATTTCATGCACTGGTCTGTGTGAGTGCACACAATGCACACACTGCGCGTGCCATTCTGGATGTTGGCCACAGGACCGGAGCGACGAATTTTTCGCAAAACAGTATCCAACAAACTAAACTTAAAGGAATTCGAATATTCGAAATGTCCAATATTCGAATATCGAATAACATCCTTATTTATTGAAATCTCGAATATTATTCTGTTTCCAAATATCGTTCAATTTTCGATTATCATTCGAAATAATCAAATGACTGCCTGTGAGAGACTAAAACATCAAATAATCAGTTGTTTCATGAAAGCTTCAAGAATAGACACTTTTTATGTTACACTTTACAATGAAAAAAAACGGCTTGGTAGTGACGGCAAGAAACTTCAGAGTCTAAAAGTGTGCTCCTATGACGGTTGCAAAGAGACATATAGAACTTTGAAAAGATTATATACCCTCCACTGAGAGTCCGTAATAGGTTGGCACATAAGTTTTGCAACTAATTTTGTAACTTTTCTTGAATGCGACGTCTTGGGTAGATATACATTAGGTGTTAGGCTACAAACTTGCGCAAACAGTTTGATTTTTGGTAGCGGAATGGGAAAAATTTGCGCATTTTCTGATAGCAGTTCAATTTTTACGAAATACATGGGTCCAAGGAACAAAAAATAAAGCCGTTTTCAGTCTTAATCCAAAGCATCAAGCGGAAACTGTAGAGATCAATCGGGATTTCTCTGTCAACTATTGGGCACGTTTCGGCTCGATTTTATTCAGACTGGGAACGGCTTTATGTTTCTTTCCCGGCCCCTATTTCGGATTGAGCTACTTTCAAAAAATGCGTAAATTTTCTTCACTTCGCTATCACAAATCAGGCTGTTTGCGCAGATTTGTAGCCTACTGCCCTATCCACATTATGCCCAAAAATTAATTCACATTTGAAGGGGAAAAGTTGCAAAATTAGGTAGTCGCAAAACTTATGTGCCAATTGATCTGTGGGCTGACATCAACTTAGACTTAAAGTATGGAGCCAGCCACTCATCGATCGTTCTTCACTGCTGCAAATTTACCATTGGAAAATTGAAGAGGGTTCTGAGACTTTAAGAGCCGTATTTTGCCCAAGAAGTGGAACCAAAAAGGCCGAAAATCTTACAGTAGATTCCTATTATAGATACACTTACTACATGTAGAATTTGCACTCAATCGCAATGCTGTTCTCGCAACTTATGCCAGGTACACCTAACAAATCTTTACTTTTCAAAACGTGATAGCATATTTGGAAAGCTTCAAAACTCCTAGAAAAATCAGCATGCGTGCAAAAACTCTACACAGATCTTAAATCTTTGTTGGAGAGGTTCTTTTGGATGTCTTATTTCGCAGTTGTTCTATTATTCGCTGAAAGTTCCTCCGCGAAAACATGGGTGATTCGCTTTTTGCTGTATATGTACTGAAGCCATCAATAATCAAATAATCATTCGATTCTGTTCAAAGTATATGAGATACTCTGCAAAAGTTGTCCCAACACCTCAAGCTCCCTCAACTTATTTCCTTCGATCTGCACTGGCCTAAGCCGCCTAAGGCAGGCGCCATACTTGATCCGCTTAATCCACTTGATCCGCTTGATCCGCTTCATCATTGGTCAATTCAGTGAACTGACCAATAGTGAAGTGGATGAAGCGGATCAAGCGGATCAAGTGGACAACTGCTTCGCTATTGCTCGATTCACTAAATCGACCAATGACGAAGCGGATCAAGCGGATCAAGTGGATTAAGCGGATCAAGTATGGCGCGTGCCTAAAGTGGAGTGTGTCGCGGGTCCCGCATGGAAACCTTTCACAGCTTTAAAGGCAGTGGCTCGGCAAATCTCATCCTAGCCAAATTTTCGCTTACCTGGGGTTATCCATTGCGCTGATTCCGAAAATCCACTTTAAATGGCTTGAAAACGGAAAATCGAGCGTTTTCCAATGCCCTTCACTGTGAAATTGGACGAGTGGAGCAAGGCTGATGATGCTTAATCGCTGCCGGACCCAATTGTTACAGCATTGCGTCGGGCAGCCTTCAATGGTGAGAGGAGAATTGCCAACTCGTCCGAACGCGTGTAAGATTGGCCTGCGCGTGTAAGTTTAGGAGCAATTTTCCCGGTAGGGAAGGCATGCTTGCGACCGGGATTGCAATGTTCTCATACTTGGGCGATGAGCAACCTACTACGCTAAAATCCTGAGTTGTTTAGATTTGCCGACCCACTGCCTTCAAGTCGCGCGCATCCGCGTGCCACCACAGGACACTTTCTCTTCGGGCAATGCCAGTTCAGCATCGTTTTCCTACCCATTTGTATTAAATTGTTTTAAAACATTTGGAGATTCTCTCGAACACGCATGCAAATCAGCCAACACCCACTAAAATGCGCAATGTGCGCAGTGTGTGCAAATGCACACATAAGTGAAATGCATAGACATTGTGAAATGGAAGTAATTACCAAAGACCTTGGCATCGGTGCATGCAGCCTGTGTTTTTTACGCAGTCCCTTTTTCATGGCGCAGTACTTCGAAGCTTCGCACTGCACGCAAGGCCCTCGCGTTGCGGATGCGTGGCTACCAAGGCAAATTGCGTAATTGACACAGACTATATCTTGATGCAATTTTTGGAAAATTATGAAATTATTATGTAAATAAACTTTTGCGAAAAGGCACTTTGCCGAAAAAGGGAATCTGGCAACGCTACATTAGAATCTTCAATTATAGTCGTTGAAACTCGTGAATCTCCAGAATGATGGAAGACTTCTCTCTTTTGTCCTTTACAAAAACTTGTCCTCTGTTCACAGCGCACAGTACCTGGCGCTGTCGAAGGCTGTGCTCTGAGACAGGTTTTGCTCTTATTACACTTGATATCAAAGTAGGAGTTGAGAGCGCATTGGGTCAATGATAAGTTCTTTCCAATAAGGAAGTAAGATAATGGT